CCCCCCCTCCCTCGGATTTCATTATGCCCGCATCGCTACACTTCGGCGCGGAATTCCGCTTTTTTCTCCCGATTTTCAACGCCCAGCTAACCCATACACACACAATGGACACCTTCACGCCCACCTACCCGCCCGCGCGTAATCCAACTTGGGACGTAAAAGCCGGAGCCTGTAGGAGTAAACGAGCCATCCCGCGAGAAATTACCGAAAGTTTCGCGCCTGTACATATACGCCGCGATACCGGACTTGGGTCCGAGCGGAAAAGCGAAGAAAAAACACGTGTGTGTGCATACACAAACGCGTAAGCAGTCGAGGGAGGGCGGGCGAAGAAAGGTGTAACGGCGCGCGACTCGATCTCGAAAAGTTCCTCCCAACGAGGTCATCGCTTCGCCGGGAACTCCACGGGCCGAAATCGGGGTCTCCCGCGCCGTCTCTCGTCGACTTTCGTCGCCACCGCCGCGTAAGGATAGGATTTAAAGTTCGTGGTCCGCGGAAATCGAGTTGCCATGACGACGCAGTCGCCGCGCCTTTGTGCCGATGAAAGGATGCGTGTAACAAGAAGGGGCGACGTGGCTCAAAAGCGCGCGGCGAAAACGCTCCGGATCACTCGTGGGAAATACGGGCTTCATTACGCGCCCGTACCTGTCGCAGCGGAAATCGCGGCCGGGAAATCCGAGCTTGGAAAAATATCGTCGCGCGGTCGTTAAAACGTTCTCGAACTGCTCCTCACGAGGACCGGCTCTCTCTGTTACAGCCGGAACCGAGGCCGATGAAGATCGACCCGCTGGTGATCGACGGCCACGTCATACCCAACCAAGTCCTCTTCACGGCGCCGACACCGGACAATGGGCAGTACCCGACCCTCGTGTTCTCCGAGAATCTGAAAGTCACCGTCAGCTTCCTCAAGGCGCACAATAAAGGTGATAATCATCGCTCGAAATCCGTCCTCGCCCTCAAAAAGAATTCGCCGTTTACTCGCGATATCTTGATTTCTTATTCCTCGGCTGACCTGATTTCACGTGTTTTTTCAAAGTCACCGTGTCAGTTCCCTGAAGACACACGATAAAAATGATAATCTCCGCTCGAAATCCCCTTTACTCGACATTCGCATATCTTTGCGTTCTATTTAATTTTTTATCCCTCGGTAACCTGATTTCGTATATTTTTCGCAACGATCCCGTGGAACAACGACGTGGTCCAACTTCAAAAACCAAACGAGATACGAGTTACTATTGCACATTAACTCATTAATTATTCACCGTGCTCGACACAATGGGCTCAGGCGTGTTAGCGATCTTCGGTGGACTGAGAGAGACGTGTCTCGGCAACAGACGTCGTATGTCCTAATCGATAATCCAATTTTCAGTCTACGTCAAATCGAATACAGTAGTGGGCGATTCGAATCACCCGACCGGAGCGGTGCTGGCAGAAATAGTCAAGGCAAACGTTCCGGTGCGCAACGGTGTGGTCCATCTGATACAACGACCGCTCATGGTCATCGACACCACCGTGAGGGATTTCCTGGAGGTCAGTGACCGATCGTTTTTATCATTAACGTGATTTCTAACGGGACGCAACTCGAATTCGCCACACCGTTAGTGTCGGTTATACCGTTTTGGCTCTCAATCGCGCTCAATTTACACCGACACGATCGCACGTATCTCTGTATGTGATGAGCGCGCGGTCAATTTTCAAGCACGAAAATTACGTTCCTTTTAATCAGAAATGTGATATTAATTCGATCGATTTATTTATGGAAACGCTCCCGCAGTGAAATGAATTTTAACGACGGTCGGCACGTTAATCGATAATAGTGTTTGACGTGCGTTTATTAAATATTGAAAGAATAACGGAAATAATGCGGCTTAACCGTCGTAAAAAGGTGAATTATATGATGCGCGCGAGAGCATCGCGATTCAGGTCGGTCGCCATCGCCGACCTCGTCATCGACTCGTTATTCGAACGCTCTCTCGCGCTCGTTAAAGTTGATTTACGTTGGAAATATGGCTGCACTTCGTTGGAATGAATTATTAAATGTTACTGCGACACGGTGTTCAAATGTTGCGCGAATTCGCGCGAACGCGCTGCGCGCCAGGAGCTTAAGACAGTTGCCGCGATCTCGACGTACAAGTTCGAAGTTGAAGCGATATTGTGCATCGGAATAATAATACCACCTCCCCCTACTCCCTCAGGCTCTGTTTAAATTAATCCTCGCTCGCAATTAATAATTTCATGTCTTGCGCGTCGGAATACGGAGTACGAATGCGCACCCGCATTTTCGAATTCGTAGCAGAGTTCCGTGGGGCGCGGCGCGTAGGAATATTATTTCAGTATTTTGCGATGCAGATGTAAACAGATTTGCATTTAGAAAAAAAAACCGCTGTGCTACCCTCATATTTCGCGAATGCGAACCCGCCCGCATTTGCATGCGGCGTATTTATTTTGTAGAAATGCGCGCGAGCGCATTATTTGGCCGAAATTTTTACGCGACATTATCCGCCGTGCGTTTTTCGGGCCGAGGCGGCACAAGTCCGTAAATCCCTCCAAGTTTCCCGGGGGCAGGCTCGGTGCACGCTGTGATTAGAGGCAAATGCCTTCGATCGCACCTCCGTCGTCGGCAAGAAATCTACGGGTCGGTCGAAGAATTCGGCTCGATTGCCGAGTCAAATCGATGGGGGGACGAATTACTCGTCGGAAGTGATTACCGTCCTTGCCTGTGATCCTCGTCAACGTTTCCTGGCGGCATTTCACCGTCGGCGAAGCCGTGGAAAATTGGCACGGCCGCGACGATTGAAAAACGCCGCGTAACACGTTCGAAAGACCGAGGAAATCCGCTCGCTGAAATCCACCGAGTCCTCGATCATCCCGTATAACCCGGCTAATGCAAACGACACGTACGCGCGCCGTGCCGGGGAAAAAGCGGGACGGCAATCGACCCGGAAAGCCATCTACTCAGCGGGCAGCATTGTGTGACCGGTCCGGTTCGGTGCTGGAGAGAAAGAGTCGACCGTGCCGAGGAAAAAGATCGAATCTCTAACTTCGTTTAAACCTCCTTACGTCCGCGCGATGCTCTCTGCGGAATTGAACGCGCTCCTTTGTTTCGTACCGTTCCTATGGCAGTCTCTCATTCGTGCCGGTAAAAGGCACTGTGACGGGAAGGGGGAGTCGCCATTGTCGGATTCCGTTTTTCTGCCGAGCTCGCGTTTGATATCCGTACGGAAGAGGTTTTCACGGTCGGCCGAGCGAGCAACGTCGAGTGATGATTTTCCATCTCGATTTCGTCGCGAGCGTATACGAGCCTTCCCTCCTGCCAGCACTTCCCCACCACGCTCGCGAACCTTTGAGCACCCGGTGACGCGACGCGTCGAGAAAGTGTCGCGGTAATAATGAGAGCTATAAGGCGCGACGGACTCGCGCGAGAAACCCCGAGCTGCAATCTGTCACGAGAAATTATTGTCTACGCGTGCACGGGAGAAAAAGTATTATCTCGGAGAGACGTGAATAAGAATTTCAAATATACTCCGAATATTACGCGACGTTTACCTGGTAAATCGCCCACTTCCATATCATTGTCGAATATCAAACGTCGAAGATCGCGAGAACGCGCAGCATAAATGATTAAACCGTTGTCGACAACGTATAATTTTGCATCTTCCACCAGCAAACTGGAGCTTTGAAGGCGCAGGTTTTTGCAGTGTTCCGGACTGTATAAGAATCTGAAAAAATTCTCGTATACTCGTGAAAGCTCTTTAATAAAGAGTTTTACCATAGTAGAAGTCGGATATTGTATCTTACTTATTTTTTACAAATTAAAATCGGAACAGAAATATTGGAGAAGCGTTTCGGTTAAAAATTCATAATTTTTATATGAATGGATAAAGAAATCCTCTCAAATTGTAATATTTGAGAGTATGTATTTCGGAAAGAAATAGTATAGTGATGGCTGCAAAAAATTAAATTATTTCAACTTCTGAAAATAAGGATTTTTATAAGAGAGCAGATTAAGTTCCATTCGAGAAAAAAATAATAAAATCCCTTCTACAGCAGACTAATCGCTAAATTCAGTTTATATTTTAATCAAAATTAGTGTATATATGTAAAGAGTAAAAATATTTATAAGCACAGTCTTTATAATAATGCATGCGATGTTTCTTGCACTGGCTTAATACATAATGTGCAGCAATACATAGTTTTTCGTAAAAGAAAAAAATGTAAAACATTAGAATATCTATTTTAAAATTTTACAGGCATTTTAGAAGCAAATTTTTTATATATTCATTGAAATTAGCATAAAAATTCCTTTAAATTGCCTACAAATTCCCACATTGTCGGCGGACAGAGAATTTATTCGATCGTCGAGATATCATGTATTCATTTAATCTTCATCTATTCACGGGAACGGAAACCCTTTAGTCATAAAATGAACAGCGCTCGTTTCTCATTAAACTTGGTCTTCATAGACCCGTGTTCGTGCACTTTCCCTTACAAAAATGTTTCACCGTTTTTAGCATGAAAAAATTGTTAATTTGAATAATAAAAGCATGTATTCAGCTGAATGAGTATAGCTCCATTTTTAAGATGGAAAGGAGCATTTTTTACGTAATAACGAGTGATTATAGCAGGTTGCATACAAATATATCCGAATGATATTAACGTGCAATTAAGTATTTTTGAATAGTAAACACGTGCGGTGTTGTGTAAATTTGAGGTCTGTAAACGTACATTCAGTTATGAGTACAAAACATTTGTTTAACACTCACAAACATTCACATTGCATATTTTGAAATATTACGAGTAAATGCACGACCCTTCGACATGCTGTCACTCATCAGCCGGGAAACGAGTATCGAAGACCTTTGCTTCAAAGAACCAAACTTTGGTTCTCACACAACCGAAAGATTTTTTTCTTTGAATATATCCGAACCAAATGGATCTTTCAGCGTGAGGAGTAAAAACGGTGAAATATTTTTGCAAAAGGGTTATCTATCTATCTGTTCGTACGATCCATCACTTTTCATCGTGTCTCCGTTCAGACAGCAGATTTCGCTCGTGAGATCGACGCGCCTCAGACGTCCCGAGAGCCGCAATGAAATCCCACACTAGCGTCTCAAAACAAAGGGTGCGATGCGGGATTTCCGCGAAGGATGCAGGTCATGCGTGGCGCCGACAAGCACGCACCGCACGCGCCACACACACACACACACACACGCTCGCTCGCGCCGGGATAAATCGCGGGAGGTGGGCGAAGAGCGAAGTCGCACGTTACTCTCGATCCCGGCGAAATTTCCGCGCGGGCGCTTCATCTCACGCCTCCGCGGGCGTGTCTATTATGAATTCAGACCGCGCGATGCATTAGAGGGGCATTAGTATTCGCGGTCCCGATACCGTGTATCCCGACGTGACATGCTTCGCCGCCGACCTCAAAGGATTCGCGCGGACGGCATTGTGCGGACGACGAAGCGCCGGTAACCGTCGTCGCCGCGGGCGCGTAATCGCTGTCGTTCGCGCCGAATGTGTGCGAGCTCATTTTGACACCGCCGTGTAGCGCGACGCGACGTTGTTGCGGGCTAAACGAGGTAATTACCGTCGACGCTTTTTCGTCCGCCGTTGCCGAATGCAAGCGCCCGCGAAGAGCTCGCGCGACGAATTCCTAAGCCTTTACGCGCGCATTGCGTGCGCGCTTCGGTAGCTTGGCAGGAGGAGGACATTCCTCCGAGATTAACAACGGCGGCCTCCGAGATTAACAACGGGCCATGAAAATTTACCGGGACACGCCGCATTCTCGCGACCTGTTTCAATTCGATTCGCTATTTTAATTAGGCAGTTCCACGCGACGACGGGCGAGAGTTATTATTCGTCGCGGACACTGCTGACTGTTGCATTTCACGTTGACGTTGCTGTAATCCTCGAAAGGAAAAGAGTATTGGAGATCAAATAAATTTTCCCGGGTGAAGCTTGAAATTTTAGTCAAGTTTGGACATTTTATATATTTATGTCAATTATATTATTTATCTTAACGGCGCTGAGGCTCGCTTCTCTCTCTCTCCAGCTTGAAACATCAATATATTTTTTACAAGAGACGTCGGCTTTGCTTTTGTCGTGCGCGGAACGTGCGACGCGAAACGCCTCGATTAATAAATTTATTTAAAATTCGCCGCTGCCGCATTTTGCCGGAATTCTCGCCGTAAATAAAATCGCACGGCTGGGGGATCGCGTTGGAGGCGCGCTTCGTTCTCTCGGGAATTTTTCGATTACCTCGCAACACGCAGACGAAAGGGCGGTGTGTGTCGGTTGCCCCCCCCCCCCCCNTGTTTCAGCGGCCGATCGACTCGCGCTGGCGATCGCTCATTGGGCTGACAAATGAAGATATTATCGTTATAACGCGGCTGCTGGTAGGCGCCTCGGGGAAAAACGGACGATCGCCGCGATACTAACCGTTTAAGAACGTGCGGAAAGGCATCCGCAACGGGCAATTTGTACGGCTGGCGCGAGCATCGCGCACCCTCGCATCGAGATAAGCGGCGCGG